CTGGACTTGAGCATGCTCCAGGCTCGTCAGGAGCGACTCACCCTCCATGTCGCTGCACTGCGTCGCCTTCTCGCCATCCTCTCTGACCCTGATCGCACCCTCCCGATCATCCGCGTACGACTCGGGACCTCCACGAGGGTGTACTCAGCGCTGTGGGATTCCGGTTCTCAGGGCGACTTCATTCACCCACGCGTGGTGAAGGAAGACCGCTTACCCACGACTGGGTCTCCGACTCCCAACTCCGTTACCCTAGGGGATGACAAGACCCAGCGCTTCTTCGATCAGACGGTCACCGACCTCCCCTTCTTCCTCACTCTCGAGCCGACTTAGCGTTCCCCGGCGTCTCGTCGCCACCGCTCCTCTGCACATTTCGATGTGATGGAGACGGGGTACGACTTCATTCTGGGCACTCCGTGGTCTCGTCGGTTCCGCAACACCGAGGCCGATTGGACGACCAACACTCTCGTTCTCAAAACGAAGTGTGGACAGACGTATCGCGTACCTTTCATAGGTACCACGGCGACACCACGCCCCGATCCTCCTCCCCCGGAGCCTTCAGTGCCCACACCATCTCCCTCTATCACTGTCACCTTGCCTCGGCAGTTCGCTCACTTCATTCGACAGGACAACGTCACCTTCTTTATGGTGGACGTGACGGATTTCTTACATTATGATCCACCCTGTCCCGACGCTTTCCGAGAGTACCACGACGTTTTCCCATCGTCGTACTCGTACGTCGGCATCCCACCGAGCTCATCCCTCTGGAGCCAGATCCTCCCTCTATCTCCATGGCTCCCATCTCTACTTCCGTCCCTCCGCCGTCCATCGAGTCCACCCCGCCGTCGCGCGCTGACGCTGATGCTGAGGAACTCGCACGATATACGGCTGACTTGGAGCCCGCAGTTCGTGACCTCATCCGAGAGTACCACGACGTTTTCCCATCGTCGTACTCGTACGTCGGCATCCCACCGATGCGTGACGTCGAGCACTCCATTCATCTCGTGCCTGACTATCATGTTCACCACCAGGCACCCTACAGACTCTCGATCCCCGAGGCCACCGAACTCAAGCGTCAGCTTGAGGAGCTCCTGAGACTGGGTTTCATTAAACCCAGCAACTCCCCGTGGGTTACACCCGTCCTCTTTGCTCGCAAAGCGGATGGAACTCTTCGTCTCTGCATCGACTACCGCGGCCTCAACCGCTACACGGTTAAGAACAGCTACCCCATGCCTCGTTCCGATGAGCTGTTCGACCGCCTAGCAGGTAACCACTTCTTTACGAAGATTGATCTTCGTAGCGGTTACCATCAGATCTGCGTCGCTGGAGCCGACCAGCCGAAGACCGCGTTCCGATCGCGATTCGGCCACTACGAGTTCACGGTGATGCCATTCGGCCACTACGAGTTCACGGTGATGCCATTCGGCCTCACCAACGCACCCGCTACCTTTCAGAGGGCGATGAATGACATCTTCAGGGACATCCTGGAGCAGTACGTTCTCGTCTACCTCGACGATATCCTGGTCTTTAGTCGTACCCTTGAGGAGCACCTCAGACACCTCCGCGACGTCCTTGACCGCTTGCGCAGACATAGTTTTTATGCCAAGCTAAGCAAGTGCCACTTTGCCCAGCACAAAATGGAGTTCTTAGGACACTATGTGTCTGACCAGGGTCTCCACATGGACGACGCGAAGATCACTGCTATTGCGGAGTGGCCCGCTCCCACATCCGCCAAGCAGCTTCGCAGCTCCCTAGGCCTGACCAGCTACTATAGTAACTTCATCCGAGGATACGCTAGGTATTCCTACGTCCTTACCTCCACCCTCCTCCGGAAGAACCCACCCTGGGCTTGGACACCCCTCCACGAGGACGCCTTCCGGGCCCTCAAGAAGGCGGTGATATGCGCACCGGTTCTTCACCTACCCGATTTTGACTGCCCTTTTATCCTTACCACCGATGCGTCAGACTTCACTGTAGGAGCAGTGCTTTCTCAGGTCTTCCCCTCATCTCCTGATTCCTCTCATCCTC